TAAAGTCAGTGTATTAATTTCGGCATGATGCTGTGAAAAGCCATCAAGTGCCGGGTGACTTGTCGAGGTAAAACCTGCTTGTTCAGCGCAGCGATGAGCAGGCAGGCAGTGGGAGTTGGGCAGTACCCGTCCTTACCACTGCACCCCGCAGGAGGACCCATCAGCTTCTGCGAACACGTCCTGTGGGACAGTGCCTGGTAGGTGGAAGAGAACCCTTAAATCCATCGGAAAGGCTTTGCTAGGCAGTGTCGGCTGCGGCGCAGGCACGTGACAGTGTGGTCCCCTCCTGGTCTGGGCTGAGCAGCATCGCTTTTAAGCAGTGTCTGATGCTGCCACGTGAAAATTTCAGCCATTTATTGGGTTCTCCTTCCTCTTTTCTCTGTCATACCTTGCTGAAAAATGGGAACTGGATTTTTCTGTCTGCTTCCTACCACCCGCTTTTGAAGAGGCTGGAGGAGTGCAGGTCCTTCTGGAACTGCTCTTGGAGCATGAATGTGAAGTATTGCCCACAGTTGCCAATAAAAAGGTTTCAAGTGCTTCAAAATGCTTCAAGTGTATTAGCTGGTAACCTACTGACATACCTGAAGGCCTAACCTGAACAATAACACATCATCTTTTTAACGTTTCTGCAGTACAGCCGTTTGGGAACAGTGCGTTTTTCTTCAGCAGGCTGTGCAGTTCGTGAGCAGTCGGTCATGAGCGAGGGACCTGGGAGGCGAAGGGTAGACCAGAGCTCCAAAATCACCTCTTTTGCTTGAGAAACTTCGAAGGACATCCCTGCCATTTCCAGACGTTCAGACACAGCGGCGTGGAAGCGGATATGCCTGTAACTCTGGCCTTGGCCTGGGAAGACCTGCAGCCCGAGACGCTCCTGGAAGGAGCAGGATTCCTGTCACGGCTCTGACTCGCTCTGGCATGTGGATGTGATCAAGCCCTGTTTCTGTGTATATGTGCACGATGCATAAAAGCCGGTGGCCTGATTTCTCTGCCCTCTCCGTGCACCTGCTTCCTTTGGAAACCAATTTGCAGGTGTAGGTTCTTGGTATTTTTAAAATTGGCTCGTATATCCTGTTCATGGACTTGGATCTTGTACCTTTGGAGCCGTTTGTGTATGAGGAGTGTGGCAAGAAGCTGCTGTTCTTTGTGCTCTTTATCCCTTCCTGCTTCCCTCATCCTGTTATTGAGTGTTATACAGTCCTCTGCATGCAAAACTGGGAGTGCTGAAGCCAATTAGCAGTAGAAGGTGTAATAAATGCAGAGAAATTTGGGTTAGGGTGGTATTTTTCATACCTTTTCTGATTTAAATGTGGAATGACTACCTGAGGGAAGCTAGACATTTGTGATTGTGTTGTGCCTTTCTGGACAAAATCCTGGGTATGGTCAAAACCTGGGCTCAGTGAGCTGTAGTTTGGAAGGAATATTGGGGTCTGTTGCTTAGAAAGTAAAGCTTTGCACTCTCTCTGGAGGTGGATCATCAAATTTTGCTTCTCTGATAGCAAAGTCGCTTACTCTAGATTGCTGTGTAAAAATTGCTTGTGTGTACCCTGATTAAATCAATACTTGTTTTCTCCGGGGGGAAGCATGCTGCTTTTACTAGTAGCAAAATTGTCATGCTTTAATCTGCAGTCAGCGGGAGTTTAATAATAAAGTAACAAAATTGGTAGGTGTATTTCAGACAAAATAAGTTGACTGATTTTGCACGGCTTCCATGTGTGGGGTTGTCAGCTGAAGTTTGCGGCAGTTAAAGGTAAGGCAGAGAAGGACACGAGGATGTAATTTTCCTGTGACTTGTAGGAGTCCCGTGACAACTCTGCAAACGTTGCAGGCCTCCTCTTCCTTGGATGTGACTCCACCTGACCTATTCGTGCCTTGCTGCTCTCTTTGGAAGATGCTCCGGGCCATATTTCTGTGGTGATGTTGCAGTCCTGGATCAGAAAGCATTACCTTAATTTTTTTTGTTAGAATCTAGCTTTCTCTTTCCTTGAGCTTTTGGGGTGGTTTAGCTACGTTCTCCGTTGCACAGGTTGTAATTTTCTTTGCCATTTGGCCCTGGTCACTTGTAAGCACAATCCATGACGTACGTATTCTAGCACGGGTGATCTCAGAGTGATTTAATTAGCGCAGGATCCAGACCAGAGGCAAGGTGCCTGGCCCGTGAGCCATTAGCTCTGAAGAGGTACCGGTCTCACTTCAGCTGAAGCAAAGACTTAGAAGGTGGTGATTGAATTTAGTGGCTCTGCTTTTTTAAAACAAAAGCTTTCAGTGATCTATTTTTGCTGCTCATCTTGTGTTTTTTCTGCTGAGTGTAGAACTGAAAACAGTGATAGAGCATCCTGCTGGCCTCCAGGCCTGGCGGGAGGAGCTGTGAGAGGGGAACTGGACCGCTGGAGGGGATGGAAGGCTTCTGACGGACGACTTCGGACTCCTCAGTTGGAGAAAATTAGTCTTGTGATTCCTGAAAAGTTTTGGTGATGCCTGAGACTCTGTAGTGGGGAAAAAAATACTGGTTTTGTTTAATGTTTTCTCTGGATTTTGTGTGGTCTGTGGAAATACTGTGCAGAAAGTAAAAAAAATAGGTCCAAACCTGATCTTTCCAAATATTTTGAAAAGCATGTGTGTTAAAGTAGGGCCTGGGAAGCGGTGCTGGCCATGGGTCCCGTGTTTCTTACTGGCTCCGCTGTGGGTATAGGAGGGGGAAAGGCAGCAGAGTGCTGTCTGGCATTTTCCAGCATCTTTATCCTTCGGGCTAAAGATAGCACAGCGGGATGGGCAGGTTTGTTCTCCAGAAATGAGACAAATGTGGCGAGGGTAGAACAATAAGGCTACTGCTGCGGGTTTAGGAGTTCTTAAAAATTACTTGTAACTTGAGATCCTCGACTTGAAGCAGCTTGAGGGAGAGAGTCGGGGTTATTGTGTGTCTGGGTTTGAGCACTATGGAGAAATGAGGCCCTCCAGGACAACAAAGGGTATTAAAACCCTTCCTGACAGGAGGGAGCAGCATCTGTACGGCTTGCTGTATCCCAGGGCCACATCCCGTTTTTCCAGATTTGAATATCCCTTTCGCAGCCTGGTTATAGTTTGGTGTGGGGTTTTTTTAAGGCCTTTAATAGAAGTCTTGACACCTTTTTTATATTTCCTTCTTTCTGTTGCATCTTTTGCAACTTCTCTGGGGCTGCTGCCTGTTAGTGCTGCTCCTAAAAGCCAGTGGGGCCGCCTTGGAAAACGTGGTCTGGTTCCTGTGGCAAACTGAGGTGTGGACCCTGGGTTCCTGCATGTTAAGGGAGACGTTTGGGTAAGGGCTCCGGTGCCGACAGCCGCGTTCCGTGCATGTGTAACGTCTGCGGTTGGCTTGGAGGGTGGGCTGAAATGGGTGCCATAAGAGCTGTTGGATAACAAAGGGGGAGGGCTGTGCTCTGAACACAGCAGCGTTGCCTGATCGTTTGCTCTTTTTCAGTCTTTCCTTAGTAAAAATACGTCCCAGATTTACTAAAGCTTCAGTGGGCCTTTTGGCTGCGGGGTTGGATTTGTTAACAGCTTGTGAGCATCGGTTGTTGCAAGACTGGCCTTGTCAAATGCAACCTATTTAACACTAAATTTTACCCAAATGGGGCTTCCTTGCTGGTCATGTTTTACATAGCGAGGAGGAACTAATTGCCAAATAACCACTAGTAATAATTATGTACAAACCTGTCCAATTTAACTCTTTATGTATTATTGAACTGACAGTTTCTGGCCGCCTGTAAAGAATGGGATTCACCAAAGGGCTCAGACCTGTAAAATGAGAATTCTTTGGGATGGGACTAGCTTGCTACAGTGTGTAACTACAGTTCTTGGTGTAGTGGGGCTTCTGAAGGCTGCAGCAGCCCCGAATCATAATTTAGGATTGAGCTGATTCTTTAGAAAGCTTTAAGTGTAAAAGAAATAATGTAACGGGGGCAAACAGAGCGCTGTCAGGTTGTGGCACTGACAGTGCTGTCCTTGGTGTAGTGGGGGCTTCTGAAGGCTGCAGCAGCCCCGAATCATAATTTAGGATTGAGCTGACTCTTTAGAAAGCCTTAAGCGTAAAAGAAATACGCGCCGTAATGTAACGGGAGCAAACGGAGCGCTGTCAGGTTGTGGCACTGAGAGTGCTGTCGTGCTCCCCTTTTCACTGTTGTGCAGTGCTTCTTGGCTCTGTGTGACTCTTTGTTCTGATTCAGTCTGATCTCTGGGAGCCGGATGTGAAACTTTGATGCTCCGTCCTCAATCAGCTTCCTGTTTCTGCCCAGGGCTACAAATCCAAACCCCGTGTCTCTGGCTGCATGGCCAACAGAGGTGGAAAGCTTTCATCCGAGACAAGTCGAGTATATCCTGGGAGTCCTGGCTTTACTCATAGCAGTGACCACAAAACAAAGTGTGGGGTGAGGGTGGGTTGTTTTTTTTTTGGTTTTGTGAGGCTTTTTTCCTCCCTTTTTCTTCGGTCCTTTTTAAAAGCACTAACATCAAACCCTGTGTGGGAGATGGGTTTCTTCTGCCGCTTGCACAGATCAGCTTTGTAATGTAACTTAGGCACTTCAAAAGTTGGGAAGCCTTTTAAGTTGAGGCCTTTGGTAATTTAGTGGATGATCTGTAGCTCTGATTTTTGTCCAAGGCAACGTTGCTGTTTATACTTCAGCTTTCTTCTCCTTAATGGAAATTCACGGAGCAGTGAAGGACTGTCTGGCAGGACAAGTAACCACTGTAATTGCTTGTTTTTACCGAGATGTTAAATGTTAACTTTGCTTCCATTAACTGAAGGTTGGCCCCCTTGGAATCCTTTGGGTCCCTGTGGGCAGAGTGGGAAGCTCTGGAGCTAGGAATTTGGAAGGGACACTCCCACCACAGCAGCTCTGTTGGTAGCCACTGAGTACCCTCCCTCCTCTGGCTGAACTCTGAGGGCAGATGGAGGCAGGGACAGGGTTGGGAACAAGGATGAAGAGGTTTCCTTCTTAATGAACAGGACATTTTTGTGTCTTCTGCAGGTGGCTTTGCGATAGTGTTTCTTGTGAGGACTAACAATGGGATGAAATGTGCCCTGAAGCGGATGTACGTCAATAACGAGTATGACTTGCAAGTCTGCAAAAGAGAAATCCAAATCATGGTAAGTCACTGCTTTGTACTGGGGCCCCAGACTGGGAGTGGGATGGGGCGAGAGCCTGGGCACTGTCTGCCTCTGATCTGCGTAGCATCACGTTGTGAACTGTGGGTCTGTCTTTTGGAAAGACCAAACTCCTGGAGTTCTGCGACTATGTGAAAATCTCATATTGAATTATTTAAATTCAGTTAGTGGACAAGAAAAACATGGGAGCAGAAAAAGCAGAGGGAATCTGAGGAAAATGAAGGGAGGAAAAAACTACTCTGTCAACCACATGACTTAATGGGAAAGGGAAGAGCTGAAGAGGTGAGCGTGGTTGGGGTGTTAGACTTCATAGTCTAACGATCTTCAGGGATGAAGTCTTCAGCCTTTTAGACTTCATCAGAAAAGGCTGTTGATTCTGAGGTAATTGTCTCTGAACTCAAATCAGTGCACGAATGGAACACCTCCATCCTGAGGTGAATTTGTACCGCAGCAGCTTCCGACCTCCTGGGTTGGGATGACGGCTGTCACTGTCCTGGCAAGGTTGGTAGATCAGAAACAGCATTTGTGGGGTAGGTACTGCCTGGGCTTTTGAAGCAGGGAAGGTTTACAATAAGCACTGGGATGTTTCTGTAGATTGTTGGGTACAAGGAGTCCTATGATAGGACAGTTATTTTTAATAGTTGTTTTAAACTTATTGTCTCTAAACATAGAAAAAGTTGAGATGATCCAAATAGATTTGCTTGGTCTTACTTGGAGCCTGGTAAACCTGGGAAGTGCCACTTCTGAAGTTGCATTCGAAGCCATTGATGAACATTTTAGGGCAACTGCGAGGTGGGGAAGGAAATACAAAACCCTCATTCTGCTGATTTACAACACAAGCCATAGGCATAGGGTAGATGATCTTCACATCAGAAGCTCTTACCTGTAGCAATTGTGGGTGTGTTTTTTGCAGTAGGTTTTAATTAGGTTAATGCCTTTAAAGTTAACTTGTGGAGTTACGCGATAGCGCGGTGAAGCTTTTGGGCATGTTCCGTCATCACCGTAACTAATGCTACACGGGAAGAGTTGAGATTAGATCTTGCATCAAAGGTTTTAGCGGTGCTCACAAAGCTTCTTTCCTTGGATTTTACTTGCCAGTGCTTTCCATTATCTCCATGTCATTGCTGCCTCTTGGAGATACGTGGCAAACCTGGAAGGTGAGGGTGAGAAGCAGGCTTCTTAGTCAGCAGGTCTGCCTGCTCCTCTGCTGAGTCTTCCTCCTGAAGAACATGTGTGTCAATAAAAGGCAGTATTTTCTTCTTTCCCAGCTTTTCTGCAATAAAGAAGTATTTTAAACTTAACTGCACTTTTTGCAGCCCTGCAGCATTACAGCAGAATGTGGCCAGCAGAATCTTGCATTTTTTACTGGTGAAGCTGGGCCTCGAACTGGCCTGGCTGTCCCTCCTGGGAGCGTGGGTGAAGCTGGCAGTGCAGGGAAATGACATTCCCCTGCAGGTTTAGCATGTGTCACAGATAAGTCATTCAGAGGGAACTTGTGCTTCAATCCATCAGGTTATTTAAGGTACTTCTGAAAGCAAGGCTGAAATTTATTTTATTACCTTAGTGAGTTTTTTTTAGCGTGCGAAGATTTGAGATGCTGCTTTGTTGTTCCCTCTGCGTGAAAGCGGAGCAGCTCTGGGTAGCTTGGCCTGGGCCGTCTAGGAATGTGCAAAATCTAGGCCCGTCCCTGGGCAAGTTCATCAGGTTGGCTGTTTCTCTGTGGTTTGTCTGGAATCCTTCTGGAAGGAAGACAGGTAGAGACAGCCCTCAGCTTTGTTCAGGTTTTGCGTGATGGTTAATCCAAAGTGACCAACGCTTGCGCCTGTACAGGGGAAGAGCTGGGAAAGCTCTGCAACGTAGAGGAACTGGATTAAAATCTTGCTCACTCTATATGGCTGGTTTATGCTTTGAATTTCTTTATCTTGCAGAGGGACCTCTCTGGCCACAAGAACATTGTCGGATACATTGATTCCAGTATAAACTCAGTAAGCAGCGGCGATGTCTGGGAAGTGCTGATACTAATGGACTTCTGTCGAGGTGAGTGTGGGCTCAGCGTGTCGTTCACTGGTAGATTTGTCCCTTTTCACGCTTACAGGGAACTTGCACAACACCTTCCTTTAAAAAACCCAGACCTGTGCCTAGGCCTGACCCTTCCTTGGCTATGAAGGAATTGTTCTGAACAAAGCATAGCCAAGACTGGGAGTGGAGAAGCGGAAGATAGGCGAGGCTGTTAACTCTGTTAGTGGGACTGGTGCTGCCTTTGTCTCAGCGCAGGGTGGTCCTTTCTGTTGTGAAGGAGAACTTTTAAATATATATTGTGGTTTTCCATAGGCTGGTCCACACAAGAAATGGCTCTTCTAGAGCTGCCAGGCTGTGGAATGAAGTTCTTCCTCACTTTGTCATATTGCAAGCTTTTTCCACTTCAGCCTGACTAAGGATTGTTCTGGAAGAAGCTTGAAATGGATAATATGAAGCCCAAAAATATTCCTTTTACCTCTGACCTTTTTGCTTGGCTGTCTCTAGCCAGCCAGGCTCTTCCAGTCCTTTCCAGCTGTGCCAAAGCTTTGATCACTGGTGTTTGGAAAATGATGCGTGTGCTGTGCTCAAATGCCTCTCCCAGGAGTAGTGTTAAACAAAAACAATGTTTTGGCCAGGTGACTTCAGAAGTCTGGGGCTGTTTTAGATGTGGCAGCTGATGGAAATAGGTATTCTTGGGCCTGCTTGGCTCTTGACTGAGGCTGGTTGTGGTGTAGGAAGAACAACTAGATGCTAAAATTCCTTTAAACAGGTCAGATACAGCTTTCTGTTCTGCTGTGCTCTCCTTGCTGCTTTGTTTTGCTGCAGGAATCTTGAGTAACTCGTGTTGGGTTTGTTTACTTGGTAAAAGGAAGAACTTCATGTAGGTTTGCTAAAGGAATCGTTATGTAAGTTCTCTGTAAGCTCAACACCAGGAGCGTTGGGAGAAACGGGCCTGGCATCCTGGTAAATCCATGCTCAGATCCACGGTGTGGATGCTTGGGATGCTGCACGATCCCTGTGGAGGGAAGTACAAACCATAGCACTTCAGAATGCTCTCCCTGCAGCTGCATTAGCCTGCCTCTGAGACAGATTTTGGCCGATGAAGTAAAATCCATCTTTCTAAGGTGTTCCCTTCCGTCTGAAAGGAGGAGAGCTGCAGGGCGGTATTTTTCACATGGCGTGCTTTTGCTGCACGTTGTGCTCGGCACATGCCTGCCTCTGTCTCCAGCATTCTAACCTCTCTCCAGAGGTTTAGATTAGACATCAGGAAGAAATTCTTCCCAGAGAGGGTGGGGAGGCACTGGGACAGGTTGCCCAGAGAAGCTGTGGATGCCCCATCCCCGGAAGTGTCCAAGGCCAGGCTGGATGAGGCTTGGAGCAACCTGGTCTAGTGGAAGGTGTCCCTGCCCATGGCAGGGGGGTTGGAACTAGATGATCTTTAAGGTCCCTTCCAACCCAAACCATTCTGTGATTCTATGATTCAGAGCAGAGCACAGGAATTGCTGTTGTACATGGGGTTTTCCCTTGTTACTTTTGTGTCCTACAGCTTCCAAACCAAATCTGTGTCTCTGTGTGTAGAACTGCACTCGCTGTGAGTGCGAGATGTTCACAGCTGTGCTACGTGTTACGCTGAGCTTTTCTTTTGCACAATGAAGATAAAGTTTTCCGACACTTGTGATGTGAAATGATACACCTTTGCTTTGCCAGAGGTTCGGGAAGGAGTTTCTTCCTCCGTGTCTAGTAGGGTGTGTTGAGGGGAAAAGATCCTGTGTGGATTGCCTTGAAAAGGCTGTGAGAGTAACAAAACCTCAAAAGTTGAGGCAAATTCAGGACTCATTCATGAAAACTTGCTTTTGTGTGTCTGGCGCGGCTCTTGTTACAGATATTTTGTTGTGTTTGCTGGTGGATGATTTTAGCCAGGCCATTTAGCAGTGTATGGGGTTCGTGTCTCTCTTCCTCCTCTTGCTTACATGGGGCAAACTGTTTTGTGGACTGTGGGTATCCCAGATTCAGCCTTTTATTCCTCTAGTCTGACAAAAAGAAGTCTTTTATTTTAATTAAAAAAGAAAATGATGAGTCTTAGCTGGAATTGCGTTTGAGCGTTAACAGAGCCGGGTGAACGTGTGCCACAGAAACTGCTCCTGAAGCATCGCTCAGAGGCAGCGTCGGATGTAACGCCAGCCGCAGATATGCGAAACCTCCTGGGTTTTAGGGGATGAAATGAGAAGGAAACGAGATGAGAAGGGAGAGTGCCAAAAGCCTCTGGGGAAGGCTTGGTGCAAAGGTTGAATTTGAACCCGTGAACTTCCTGTGCGCTGGCTGCGCAACTGCGGCTTGGTGGGGAGCGGCCTAAGCCAAGGCACGACTGGTGGGATGGGGCTCAGACCAGGCCACGCCTCGTCTTGTGCGCCGGGTTTGATTCTTGGTGGCTGTTTCTCCCCAGGAGGTCAAGTGGTGAACCTCATGAACCAACGTCTGCAGACGGGGTTCACGGAGAACGAGGTTCTGCAGATCTTCTGCGACACCTGCGAAGCCGTAGCCAGGTTGCATCAGTGCAAAACGCCAATAATCCACAGGGATTTGAAGGTGAGTCTTGGTCTCCAGTAACACAGCAGTGAGTGTGCCTCCTCCTTAACGTGTCTGTCTGCTGCCTACACCACGGCAGACGGGCTTTCATTTCAGTACGGGCACTGTCTTTCTGTTGTTAGTAATGAGGAAAAGTGGGCATAAATACCTCTCTATTGGAAGATAAAAAAAAACTGAGCCTCTCATTGCTGCTTACCATATGTTTACTGTCTATAGATCTACTTAAAAAACACAAATGTTTGTGAATAATTCTGTTTTGCACAGGGGATGTGCCAGAATGTATCTGATGAATTATTCACAGTGACTTTCTACCACCTGAAACACTATTGATGTTATGAGGGAGTTCACAAAACGCACGCTGTAAATTTGTTTCCTGGACCCACGTTAAAAGGATCCCTCCGGAGAGGTTGGCCTTGGGGCAGGAGTCGTTAGAAGCTTTTGAAACCAGCCTCTAACTCTCTCTTGACTGTGACAGTGCATTGTAAAACTCTGTGCTTAGCTGGGACCAGAGCTAGGCCGGTGGGGAGAGCTTTCCAAAAATCCCATGCCTATAATCAAACAAACAAACAAAAAGGGGTTCCCTTTCCTCTCAACTAGCTCGTAAAGTGCCTGAATAATATATTCAGCCAAGAAACAGGCTCCTGTGTACATTTGAAATTCAGATGTGCTTTGTGGGTCAGGTTGTGTTTCAGAGCTCTCCACAGATGCCTGCTCTGTGCCGTTGGCCATCGTTCTATAGGAGCAAATGACCCCGTGTGTGCCAAGAGCCAGGTAGCACAGGGAAAAAAATCCTCAGGGATTGGTACGCTTTAGCAGGTTTCAAAAGATTGTGACCCCACTTCTCAGGCAGCTTGAATGTATGAAACAAGTTTGACATCTGGTTTTCTGGAGTGGAACGTGTGGAGTCTTACAGACTTGAGGCCTGAGTTCAAAGCTCCTGAGGTTTGTGGGCATCTTGCAGTCGAGGGAAACGGGATGAAAGGATAAGGCTTAGGAACAGAGCCTCTGCAGAGGATACTAACCCCTGCTGTTACCTTTTGGTGAATCCCTGGGGCTTTTTAATAAAGATCAAACTCATGGTGTGGCATGTGAATAAATTCTGGGACGTCTGTGATGGATTAGTGAGTTGATCTTGGGTGATACTCTCTCCACTCAGTTGCAGTTGGAACGGACTGTTACGGTCTGATGTCCAGCCCACTGCTGCACACATAGATCAGTCAAGTTTGCGAGGCCTGGCTCTTGGCTGGTAAGCTGTGCCCAGGCTCAGAGAGCTGGCCCTTCTCTGCTTTGGGGTGTTCCCCAGTTGAATGTTGTATTATTCCTGTTGAGATGATCTCTGGAGCTCCAGTCACAATTTGAGATCCAGGTATTATCACAGAATTGATGATTCAGATATGTTTTGACTTTATTTGAGTTCAAATAAATAATGCCAAGGAGGAGCTGCAATTCCAGAACAATTCCAAGAGAGATTAAGGTCCAGAAAAGACTTGTGTGCAAGTTCTGAGCGTAGGGAAGGGCGTCTGTCGGGTAGGTGTGTTGTGGGAGTGAAGATAACCCTCTGCAGAGTGGGCAGATGTTGACTTTGTGGACAGCTGCATGGAGGCTTTTTTTCCCTTCCAGCTCTTTGATGTTGCTCTAACACTGGAGGCGCCTGCCCAGAGAGCTCTGCCAGCAGAAGGGATGGTGTGAATAATCTTTCAGACGGATGCAGCTGGATTAGTTTCAGTGGCCTGTGGCTGTGATTTTTGAATTAACCCAACAGGCTTTGCCTGAAGCAGAACAACCTCCTCTTGGCACCGTGTCGGGCTGGTGGGATGTGACCAGCAGTGGGGGATAACAGCACCTTTAAGCAGCGAGCCTATAGGCAAAATTGGGCATCTCGCTGTGAATAAAGGCCATGAAAAAGACTGTGTCACCCCTGTGTTGGTCTGGTAAGGTTTTCCTTCCTGATCTGGTGGTTAATTAGCAAGTGCTGTCAATCTGTCCCTGTGTGCTGTAAGGGATGTTTACTTCCATGTGCTTTGATGGATGGCCACAAAACCAGACATACGTTGATGCTGCTTTTCTCTAAATATTTGGAAGCCCCTTGTGTGCCACCTCTGCCCTAGGAGGGACCCTGTAGAGGCAGCGTAAGCCCACTGGCAGTAGCCCTGCATTGAGTGGCTACTTATCTTTGCTTGTTCTTCCAGGTATTTGCCTTGCCTTCAGGCTTCATAGGCCAGTGCTGCTGCGGGGAGTTCACTTCAAAACAGTTCAGTTTTGTTCTTCTCTCACTGGAGTAAGAACAATCCCTGTATCTTTCTGTTAGGCCTTTTAACAGCAAAGAACAAATGGCCAAGCCTTCTTATGGCTATCTGTTACATTATCCTGGATGTGAAGGCTCTGCTTCCAAGCTGGAATCTATGTAGAGGAACTGTAACTGTCAGATCCCAGAGGAGTAAGGTTTAGTGAGGTGGAGGGAGGGGAAAAAATCTATCTAGGGCTGATGATAACATTTTACACAACTACCCTGTACCTAGTGGCAGTTGTTTGCCTAACTTGTTTTATATTTAACCTTGTCTTTCCAGTCTCACATCCCACAGCTTGTGGTGTTCAAGGCACCAGCTTAGAGCCAACTTTGATTTCTACAGCTCTGAGCTTTCTGCAGTGTGAGGTCTCCCACTTCTACCTGTGATGCTTCTGCTAGACTGAGCCCATCTGGTTCCAGGAGTGGCTGATTTGTCTTGTAGCAGACACACAGCAGGATACAGCAAAATACTGTGTCCGTCAACCCAGAGGACGCTGTTGATCAAAACACCTTTCTCCTTTCCTGTCCCTACTTTCTGAAATAACCAGAAGGTTGTGCTCTCAGGTTAAGGATCTAGTTTCTTCTGCTTTCATTTTAGCAGGAGGCTTCCCAGTGTCGCAGTTCTCTGTGGTGCGATAAGTCAGTCGCGCTGTGCTGCCGTTACCTCTCTGCCTTCCATCGCCCTTCTTTGCAATGCCAGGTCTTGCCCTGGTGCCACCAACAAGCCTTTGCCTGGCATTTGAAGGCATCAGTGTTACATAAAATTGTTCAGTCCTCTAACAGTAAACCCTGGTATTGACCACGTTAAGAACATGCCAGTGCCAAAATCAGTCAGTGCTCTTAGATGTCACGTTGCCTCCGCTGCTTTGCTACCAAATGCTGCGTCAGCTTTCCGAAGTAGTGAATGGTGCCAGGGGAGGAGGGGGAGCTGGAACATCCCTAAAGAGACCTGAAGGGGCTGGAAAGCAGTCAGAACGTGTACCTTGGCCATGCGTCCCTCCCACATCGCTGCCCAGGCCTAGAAACGGCCTTGGAAGCCGTTGCTCTCACGAGGGTAACGCGTGTCGACGTTGCTCGTTGGAGCCTTATTCCTTATCCCCAGCCAGTCTGCCCCTGCCCTGTTTTCACCACTTAATGTTTTAGCAGAGAAGGGCACTTGTTTCAGAGGGTTGAGCCAGAAGCCGGCTGTGTTCTGTAACTAACCACTCTTAGGGCAGCTCATAGTTTTCCTTGAAGGTGGTTGTTTGGGGTCTCAGTCTGACTGTGTTGGGCACCTCAGAGGCTGCAGTGGGAGCTGTAGGTGCTCAGCAGTGCTGAAAACTGGGGTGCAGCTTTGGGTGTTGGACTGGAAGAGGGCATCTCCAGACTCTTGGAAAGACAGTTTCCTCTGGCCTGGGGTCCCTAGCAGCAGTGCAGGTACTTCGCTTGCTGTTTGGGTTTTTCTTTTTTTCTGGAAGCTACCGAACAAGCTGGGTTGCTGGGTAGTCCAGTGCTGATGTTTCACCAAACTTGCAGGAAGTTGCCTCCGACTGCTCCAGCAGATAAAGTGGAAGGACCCTTCTGGAAAGATCTGATGAGTGCTTGCAGGGAACAGGGAATAACGCTGTCAGTGTTGATCTGAGGGAGAACATCTGTGTGCAGTGCTCTATTCAAAGCAGATGGATGGGGGAAGGGGGTGGTGTTTAACCCTTGGTTTCAAGCCAGTGTTTCCCCACTCAGCTGCTCTAATTTCGCTGCATATTCTGATGCTTAAAATGCTGACTCCTTGGGTTTTTTTCCTTCTTACAAAGATCATCCTTGATGGGGGAGATCTCCTTCCAAAAGGTTTTGTTAGCAAGTGCTTATGTGGTGATTTTTTTAAAAATGTGAGTGATGTGTTTTCTCTCGTTGTTGTATCTGAACACTTCACATTGATTGAAGATAAATACTTTAGAAATTGTGTGTGTTCCCTTGAGAGAACATGCTGTTAATGCCGCTGTACAGATGAGGAACTAGAACACCAGGATGCTTCGCCAAAGCAAAGAACAGAACCCAGGTTTTCCCACATCTTATGTCGGTGTTGAAACATGGAGACCGCTTGCTTAGGTGGATGCAAGCTGAATTTCTGTTTGTGCATGACTAAGTGTGTGTTTTTAGGGGAAAGGCAGCGACTCTGCTGGTTTTATTGTTTTCCCATTTTCCAGCTATCCCAGGTGTGTGTTTCAGCATTTGTTTCAGTTGTCTGATTCAAACTACCAAATTTGAACGCTACCCCTTTGAAAGCGAGGGGTCGTCATCTCAGCAGCCCGGAGGACCCTCTGCTGATACAACCCCCGTCGAGGGGTACCCAACGCGTTCTGACAACCAGCTGAAGTGTGAGCACAAGCTGAGGTCTGAGGAGCGAGACCCGAAGCAACAGGGGAAACGCAGGCAGAGAACTCCAGATGTAATATAATTTCATAAAGCGTGGAAGCATGCGTGCTGTCATCCATCTGCCTCTTCTGCCCTGCTAGTCAGCGAGGGGTAGAGCCCTTTGTAAAGCAGCGGACAGCCTGTGTTAGCTGACCCAAATCCAGATGCCAGACTGAGGGTTGTAGTAGCTGAGGGAAGTGTAGCTCTAAAGACGTGGGGACACAGTTCTTCTCCTGAAGCACACAGTCTTAGCGGCGAGGTGGTGTGTTTGCAGAAGGGGAGAGGAGAGGTGGCAGGATGGAAGGCAGTGTTACGACTACGCTTTCACCATTTGACTTTATTTTAGGAGATGTCAGAGTGTTGATGTGTGTTTTCTTCGCTGACACGTTACACTTCTACATCAGATGTGTCTGATATGTCTCCAGGCACTAAAAACCCTGGCTTGTCTTAAGAAAACGCATGTTCTTTTGGCCTGAGCAATTCTGTGTTTGTCTGTGGGGCTTTTAGGTTGAAAACATCCTGCTGCATGATCGTGGCCACTATGTCCTGTGCGACTTTGGAAGCGCTACTAACAAATTCCAGAACCCTCAAACAGAAGGGGTGAACGCGGTAGAGGAGGAGATCAAAAAGTAAGTGTGTTTTTCCTTTTCAGCTCGGACAAAGTGTGTGTTTTAAGGGTAATTTTTTTTCTTTTACTGGGACTAAATTTTACTCAGGCCAGTTGCAGCAGATTGGATGCTGCTGCGCAGAATTGCCTGCTGCAGGTAAGTATGTGCCTGGGGGAAGGTGAAACAATAAATTGAGCTTGATGTAATTGCTTTGGACCTGAAAGGCTGAGTGTACTAATGCAGAGAAGTTGCCCACCTCGACGAGGCAGTGACACACTGTTATGTATGGGGTCAGTGTCTCTGTCCCTCATCTCTTGGCTCCTTCAAACTGCAGTGCTGCAGATGACAATCCCTGTCCTCCCTGAGCCACTCGTCATAAATCCTTGCAGTGACTAAGGGAATGCATGGCCTAATTCCTCGGCCCTTCGCAGAAAACATAAGGACCTTGAGGTGTTTAATGGCCCCTCGTGCCCCGCGTGCGACCAGCTATAGCCGTAGCAGCTAGGTGCACCTCAGGGTTTTTAAGGAGGGAACTTAGCCGGCAGCTCAGTGGGACGTAGGTCAGGAATGGAGCAGAGTCCAAATCCTACGTCTTGCTTCAGTTTTAACATCATCACTGCTGTAAACTTTCCAGTTCTGTCGTACAACGTTCTGCCTAGAGACCAGCATGCTAGAAGTGTGTGCAAATGTCTCCTTGGCGTTAGGATTCCGTTTCACCTGCGTGGATTTCCTTTTGGAGGTTGCAGAGCGCTCCTGGTCTGGCTGTGCTGTCCCTGTGGAATGCCCCATTTGTACATTTATTAACAAGCCTACACGAACTTGCCTTTAGCAATGCTTTCTTGTGTTCAGGGTAAATAGTGTGCAGGGTGCCACAGCAGAAATCATAGGCCTACTGGTACGAAATCTTCAAGAAGCAGGAAGCCACGCCGCAGTTTTTGTAGTGATTTGTTAAAATGAGGCAGGTTCTAGCTATAGCTCGAGGTACAAAATACCCTTTCCCTTGTTCACAGCGACTCAGCGCCCGAGTCCTGGTATGGAAGTCTATTTATTAGGAGCCATGTATCCGGTTACAGTCTTTGTGATAGAGTTGGCCAAAGCCCCAGCAGGGAGGACATTGCAGAGGACATTTGCCTACTGACTTTTTTTAACACTCTGAATCCATGAATATTTCCCTTCCAGTTATGTGCAGCTTTGTGAGCAAATTGCTTGCTTTAGAAAGGATCTTGGGTGCTGCTTTGGGTTCGCAGGGCAGTTTGCAGTGGTTAGTTTATTGTTAGAGGTATGTAGCAGGTGCTGTTGTTAAAAGATTTTCCAATAGATTATAGGGAAAGACTGAATTTTGAGTTATTTGGAAACGTGACATAGCGAAAATGTATCTGATACCCATTCTGCCCTCACTGACAGATCTTTCTGCTGCAGGTACACTACGTTATCCTACAGAGCACCAGAAATGGTCAACCTGTACAGTGGCAAACTTATTACTACAAAAGCAGACATATGGGTACGTATAAAAACCGCTTTGCATCGAAAGACTGAATTTTGAGTTATTTGGAAACGTGACATAGCGAAAATGTATCTGATACCCATTCTGCCCTCACTGACAGATCTTTCTGCTGCAGGTACACTACGTTATCCTACAGAGCACCAGAAATGGTCAACCTGTACAGTGGCAAACTTATTACTACAAAAGCAGACATATGGGTACGTATAAAAACCGCTTTGCATCATACAAGCAGACTGCAGCTTGCTTTTGTTACTGTAACAGCAGGGTAACTTTCTGGCTGGGGCTATCCCCATTTCCTAAGAAGACTGGAGAGTTTCTGAATAAAGAGTTCCTCTGCTTGCCATTTCTGATGAGGTCCTGCTGAGCAGGGTGGCTCGTGGGTAAAACACGCAGGTGTCTTTGCATGCCACCTCCCATGTGGTTTTAATTTAGAGCTGTATGGAAGTCCAGGGTTGAATAGTGCAAACCTGATGCGAAGAGTTAAACCAGGAAATTCAGTATTGTGACTTCTTGTGCCTGGGTTGGGTTGCAAGCACATGAAATCCAAGTTACTGCTCAGAATTTAGTGGAAAACTGAGAAATTAGGCCTTCTCCCAGGAGTAACAGTATGCTTATCCTGGACAGGGTAACACAGGTCTGAGTTGTTAAACCTGGCCGGAGGCTGAGGTTTTGCACTGCTGTTTCTCACGATCAGGGCAATCTTGGCACACTTTTCACTTTGAGAGAAAAGTGCAACTGTGGTGTAAGCCGTTACTGGGTAACCTCATCAAGGATAAGGCTTCCCTTCAGTTGGGTCGGAGATGAAAAAACATCTGTGCTGTTTGCAGTGTAGCGGCAAATCAGCAAATGGGACGTGTTTAAAATGCTAATTCACAGCATGTTTGTATGGCTTCTGAAGCCCTGAGCCAGGAAGTGACAAGGCCCAGGCAAGAGGAGGAGAGTTTTAATGTAGCCTCTATAGCTCTGCATCTGCATATACAAGAGGGAAAACTGCTGGTGTGACATCTGCTGGGAAGAGTCCTCTCTCCTCTCTGACCTCAGCTCCGAGTCAGGAAAGCAGCAGCTCCTGTGGGGCTCTTGCTCTGCTGAGCTCAGCGGGAGGTTTGTGGAACCAGGCCCTGTACCAGTGCTGGGTCACTCGCCTCGGCATCAGAGACCCGGACAGGGGAGGCCACAGCTGTAACAGCGTGAGAAGATGCAGGGCCTCAGAGGGCGGACCTGGGGTTTGCACTCCTTCCTGTGATAATGTGCAAAGGCAGAGACCCAAAGGCTCTCCTCTTCTTGGCAGGGAAAGAATTCTGTTCTAGTGACCTGCTGAGTGTTGCCAAACCAGCGTGTGGTGGTGTGCGCAGCGGGGCCTCGACTTCAAGGCCTGTTGGAGCGCTTGTCCTGCTGGAAACTTCCCTTTCCTCCAATCTTGTCAGGGTTATTTTAAACCAGAGTGCAATTACGTTGTGAAATCCTATGACAAAAGATAAAGCTGATGATGAGTTGCTTAGGATTAGGAAATGTTTTCCCCTCTCCTCTCTGAGATGGTGGGAGTATTTCGTAATTAGTCCTTTGTGTAAAACTTCTATTTTCTTTTGAAATAGGTGGTGGTTCTTGCTGTCAAAAGCAGCACGGAAATAGATGGCAGGGTGATATAACCTGGCAGCCCGCAGACTTATCGCTGTATCTCTCCCCGGTACATATTTATAACGGTTGAAAGGTTGCTTGAACTTAGCTTGGAAACGGTTTGGATTTTGCCTTGTCAGAGTAAATGTTTTCGGGATGATGGTTACCGTTTATTTTTGCTAATACTTTGCTTTTTCCTCCCACTGTGTGGCGGAAACAGGCTTTGCCCCTTTCATGCCGGAAGGGTCACACGATGCGTAGGGGTATGTGGAGCTGAGGGGTGTGTGGCGATACTCTCAATCCCTCAGTTTACAGCATCCCAGCCCGGCGAGGGAGAGCTCGTTGTGTATTTATCTTCCCGTGTAACTGTGCTTGTTTTCAAGCTGATCGCAGGGATGTTAACCGTAGGCCGGACGTCACGCGGGACCCATATAGCAGAACAAGCTAGAGCACGTTCCTGTTACCGACAGCGGCGTTTGGGTTGTGCTGTTCCCTGCTTTGCTTCGGTTTGTTAATTCCTGTGCCCCGTTCTCTCTCTTTAGGCCCTTGGCTGTTTACTCTACAAGCTGTGTTACTTCACCTTGCCATTCGGGGAGAGTCAGGTGGCAATCTGTGATGGCAATTTCACCATTCCCGACAACTCTCGGCACTCGCAAGACATGCACTGCCTCATCCGTGAGTGTCTGACGGGGGCACGGTCTACTTTGCACAACTGAAACCACAGCGGAGAGGTGTTTTGTTCTTTTGTTCCCTGCTCCTACAGTAAACCCGTTGGAGCCTCTCCTCGTCTGAGAGGCTTGCTCGCACACAGGAGTGGCTAAAGTGATCTTTCCGTGGCTCGAAAGGCAGCGATGACAGAGGTTTGGGTTGGCGAGGCTGTAGTGAAGTCTGTGGAAAGGCAGGAAGAGAGGCAACCGTTTGGTTTCAGAGTCCTACAGAAACTTGCACAATAAGCCTATTTATGCAGAAATGCATTTCTCCGGTAAGAAGTCTGTTTGGATAAGGAACTGAAAACCCCACAGTGACCTAGACTAGTGATAAGAAATCATCTTCTGTGAACGGAAAAACAACTGCGGTGAGGCACCAATAACCCGCTGACTAGAGCGAGTGTGTAATTCCGGGGACAGGGCACTACTCGTGGCAAAGCTGGGGCAGCTCTCGTTTTCAGCACAGCGTTTGATACCCCCAGCTGCAGTCTTGACTGACGGAGTTGGATGTTTTCGCAGAGCGGCCTGGCCTTTCCTTACGCAAAGGCGATGGTGTACATGGCTGGCTTCTCCTGCCCCACTGACACATCCAGGCTGGATCAAGCTCTTTTCCTCCAGGGTCACTTGGGAATGCAGAAGTTGAAACCAGTGCTGTTCCCTGGCCAGGCAGGCTGCATGTCCCCTGCTTGCCCTAGAGCCTTCGGTAGCAGCTACAAACTGTTCATAGCTGCACCGGGAAGTATGTCCTAGTCCCTCCTGCCTTGCCCCTCTCTCAGCTGACCCCGATGGTCACCTCAGCCACGCTGAGCAATGACAGGCACTTTGAAAGAGGCAGGGCACCCACCCTGTTAGCATCTGGTTATACCAGATGTAGCGTAGTGGGTGGTTTGGGTTGAAGGGACCTTTAAAGGTCATCTAGTCCACCCCCTGCCATGGGCAGGGACACCTTCAGCTGGATCAGGTTGCTCAGAGCCTTGCCCGACCTGGCCTCGGGAGTTTCTAGGCACAGGGCAGCTAAACCTCTCCGGGCGAGCTGTGCCAGTGCCTCCCCACCCTCGTTGTGAGCGTTTGTTCCTTAGATGCAGATACGCTGCTGCAAGTGGCTCACGTGAACCTGTCTTACTGCTGATACTGTCACCTCTGTCTTTTAAGGGTATATGCTTGAGCCAGACCCTGATAAGAGACCCGATATCTATCAGGTCTCCTACTTTGCATTCAAATTGGCAAAGAAGGAATGCCCGGTCCAGAACGTCCAGGTGAGTAGCGACGGCGTGGGCTGATGTGGGGCTTTGTGGGAGGAGACCGCGAGTGGCAGTTGCTGAATATTGAGCATTTTGATGAATCCTGTTGGTTGTTCCCCAGTTCTGTGATTAGGAGGATCTTCTTTTTTTTTAATTTTCTGATTAGCAGCGCCACTTGGGCTTGGTTTTGTCTTTTTTTGAGGGAGAGGAATCCGGGTTTTGTTTCACACATTGTTTACTTTTATTTGTCCCTGATTTACCTCCTCACCCGGTTACCAGTGTGAGGCCAACCAAGAGGCTTTGTGCGTGTGAACATGGAAAATGAGGCCATGCACGCGAAGCCGATTTGATTTCCAGGCACGTTCACCGGAGCGTGTGTAATCTGTGCCGCCGTTGGTTTTCAACGGCACGGCGCGGTTTTGTGTCGGCTGGCTGGCCGGGACTAGCCAACTTACGTCTGAGCTACATCAGGCCTTACACACCATCTGCCCCTTCTTAGTGTGTCTTTGTGCACCGAGAAAGAGAGTTGACAAGTAGTTTCTTAAAGTGTCACGGGCATCTGTGACGTGACATTGTGTTTTGTTGTTTCCAGGTAAGAAGAAACCAATTTCTTCCCCCGTTTTCAGGAAGTTATTTATGGTCTTTATGGGTTTGGTACTATTATGCTTGTGTTTTTGATAGCAGTGTTGGTAAGGTGGTCTTTTAGAACTGCCAACGTTGTGCTATGAAGGTTTGTGCTCAGATTCCACATCCAGTAAATAGTCAGAAAGCTGAACCCCATTTTTCCCATGTGAAAACATGACCTGAACGTGGAGGGGGTTTGTCTTGTGTCCAGCATGAGGAATAACTGCTTTGAGGATCTCCTTGTTTCATCGGGATGCTTTTGCAAATGATTTCTCACTCTGTTTTCTGTCCTCAAAATACAAAATTCTGGCTTGGGGATCTGCAGAACTCTCCGATCCCTGCTAAGCTCCCGGACCCAGTCAAAGCAAGCGAGGCTGCTGCGAAGAAGAGTCAACCAAAGGCCAGGTAACCACATCTGCATTATGCTCAGCCCTCTCTTTACCGCCTCTTGTCTTTCTGCTGCTTGTTAACAAAGATGCCTGGTAGATTTAGCTGCTTTCTTGCGGGCTCACGTGTACGCGTGGAGACGAGCAACTGTGGTCCTGAGGCTTCTGCTTCAACGACATAAATAACCACTGATCTGAAAGGCAGAAAAAGCAGATATTAGGGGAATTTTTTGTGCGTGGGGGGTAGGTGGGGACTCAGCGTGACTCAACAGCCAGGCTTTTTTCTTCTGAAGTCACTGTTTGACAGCAGCACTTGAGGTTCATGCACTTAGCTGAATCTCCTGTGTCATCCGTCCGGAGGCGGTACCCAGAGCACCTGAGAGCGGTCAGGAGAGACTGCAGCAGGCCTGGAACTGCCCCAAAGAACGAGTGCACCAAGGAACTGCCTCGGGGACTGTTGCTCTTCGAGTGTGACCCCCCGACAGATGATAACCTGACCCAGTAATTACTGTATGAAAGGCTGTGATTTCTCCGAGAGCCCTGTCATTTCTTCTGGGGGGGCTGTGAAAGCCCATGCAGTCTCCAACCGAAGAGCCCAATTAGTGGGGAAACCACTGGACTGCTGTGGTCTTTCTCCTCTCCTGTTGCTTGCTCAGTGGAGACTTGTAAATTCTGTTGGACAAAAGTCGTACCTTATTTTACTGTCAAGTGAGCAGCACAGCAGTGGGCACTCCAAAATGAGCAGTTTTCTTCAGATTCTGAACTAGGGCCACTCTGCTGTCCGTCAGTCCCAGGAGTCTGCTTTGGTTCTGTAATTGAGTACATGAGTAGAACAACTCGATTTCTAACAAGCAGATGTATCCACAGAAGGGCAGGGTGGTGTCTGGCTTCTTGGCTCTGTTGCTGTGCATTTCTGGAGCTCAGTAAGTGTTGAGCGGGGACCAGAAGAGGTCCAATGACCTGATTCTGGGTTAGATGTACCTCTAAAGGTGGCAGTTTAGGCAACTGCCCAAAGGTATCAGCTGCTCTTAAGCTAATTTATGTCCTTCATCTGCTCATCCAGAACTCATAAGTGTATTTAAACAATATGCTGTAGCAAATATTTGAATGAATTGAGTGATTTTGACAAGTTCCAGCTGTCCAACAGGAAAAGATGCCACAATTGCAAAGAAGTCAAAATGATAGTGTTGGTTTAATTGTTGTGAACGCATCTGTTGGGTTTTACTGTGTTTCCAGTTTTCTGGAAAGTGTCGTGTGTGTCTGGATGCCTGCAAGTGTTTCCCCTTTATCACTCACATACTGCTAAAGTGTGGATGAGTTTTGTTTTTTTTTTTTTAAACCCCTGATGTGTGGTGTGCACCAGCTGTCAGCCTACCAAAGACTCTCTTGTTACTGTTCTTCCTTACCTTATCTCCTAGGCTGACCGATCCCATCCCTACAACAGAAACTTCCATAGCCCCCCGCCAGAGACCTAAAGCAGGGCAGACACAACCCAACCCTGGGATTTTACCCATTCAGCCAGCCCTGACGCCAAGGAAGAGACCCACGGCTCAAGCAGCCATTCAGCCACAAGGTAAAACGCTGTGTGGTGCCTTCCTGCCGAGCATGGTGTATTGCAGGGCTGCGGTGCGTGCTCATCTAACGGATCTGTGGTTTTATTTTAACTTTCCTACCAGTTGCAGGCCCTGCTGCCCTGGGCAGTGGTCAGCCTTCGCTCTCTGCAAGCGTCCCCCAGCCAAAAGCAACACCTCAGCAGACTCCGGCCCAGCCACAAGCCAAGCAGGCACCAGCTCCGCAGCAGGCCTCGCAAGCGCAGCCCCCGGTCCCTTCTACTCAGCCACAAGCCACACCTCAGCATCAGCAGCAGCTTTTCTTGAAGCAGCAGCTCCTGCAGCAGCAGCAGCAGGCCGCCTATTACCAGCAGCAGCAGATGATGCAAGCTCAGCAGGTGGGTGTGCGCAGCTCTGTGTTGCCTGCTTCCTGTGCTGGAGGCCTCCAAGCTGTGTCTTCATTTATGGCAAGTCCCCTGTTCTTTTGGGGGATAGGTGCAGTTTTTAGGCATTTTCCAGTGTGTCTCTAGTTATATAGCAAGACTTTTTGCTATGCAAGGCTGGCATTTTTAACTGTCAGCGTGGAAGGCCTTGTGATAGGTTTGTTATGTACAAACACAAAATAAGAAGTGCTGGTTACGGTTTTACAGCTCGAGGTGTGTCAGAGTCTTGAGATCAATGCTCAGCTGCTGAGCAGAGGGGTACACTTTCCCTGCTGCTCGCTGAAGGAGCCTGGCATGCCCGTTTAACGGTGAGATTCAGGTCTGGTGGCGTGGTAGGCTGCGGTGATGGGGAGGCCTGTGAACACACGATGTGTTAGACAGGCTGTGTCTGGATGACAGGCTGGCGTGCGTGACTGAGGTGTTTTTTATAGCAGCACAGATCTCTGCTAAAGCATATTTAGCAGTGGAAGCAAAGGGACAGTGGATCTTCCGACCCAGGGAAAAGGTTTAGAGTTGATCAGAATGGAGGAACGTGGGAGCCCATACAGGCAGTGTCGGGCAGGATCTAACGTTAGTGCCGAGGGCAGTTTTCCGCCGCTCCTTTTGCGGATGGTCTCGGCCTGTTACTGCTTTGCCACCTGCAGTGGCTGTAACCGTTCCTGTGGCTGGCCCTGAGTTCTGGGGGTGGTACCCCAGTTCTCAGCTGCGCAACAAGTGGCTCAACAACGGTTGTTTCCCAGTTCCCAGTGATGCAGCAAGGAGCGCCAGCGCAGCAGCAGCTGATGCAGAACTATTACCAGCAGCAGCAGCAGCTGATGGCCCAGCAGGCAGCAGCGCAGCAGAAGACAGCAGCAGCAGCGCAGCAAAAACAACAAGCCCCGGCGCCGTCGCAGCCCCAGGCCCAGCCAAGCGCGGCCCAGCCAGCGCCACCGCAGGAGCAAGTGGTAAGAGCCTTGCGGGAAGGCGTGGGGCGGTGGGATTTGGAGGACTGGCAAGCTCTCTCACGCCAGCTCCTATATGCCATGAACACCCCAGTGGCGCGGCTGGCTTTCCAGACCCACGGAGCCCGGGTGTTCAGGCGGTGCTCGAGGGCCTGCTGGCCCCCAGTGCGTTATTATGGAGTCGCAGATGCCCTTGCTGCCTCAGAGATGTGTGCAGTTGTTTGGATTGCTCTTTCCAATGGGTTGCTGGACTCTGGAGTTGTGCTGGGGGTCTGCAGAAAGATGAGTAAACTGAATAGAAAGCAGATGAGAAGATATAAGTATATTATATTCCTCCCCTGTCATGTTGTCGTAGAAGAAGTGATAAACTTAAAAATTCGTTGTACTCAGCGCATTGGGGTGGGCACCAGGCAACAGAACTACTTCATATCGCTGCTTCTTTGGAAAACTTCCCTCTTGCACCGAGGCTCTGATGCAGAGGAATCATAGAATCACAGAACGGTTTGGGTTGGAAGGGACCTTAAAGACCATCTAGTTCCAACCCCCCTGCCATGGGCAGGGACACCTTGCACTAGACCAGGTTGCTCAAAGCCTCATCCAGCCTGGCCTTGGACACTTCCAGGGATGGGGCATCCACAGCTTCTCTGGGCAACCTGTCCCAGTGCCTCCCCACCCTCTCTGGGAAGAACTTCTTCCTGATATCTAATCTAAATCGCCCCACTTTCAGTTTAACCCCATTACCCCTTGTCCTGTCACTACAGGCCCTTGTAAAAAGTCCCCCCCAGCTTCCTTGTAGCCCCCCCAGGTACTGGAAGGCTGCAAGCAACCTTCCTGGTTGTTTCTGGCATTGGGATAGCATTTTTCTTTAATGAATGCTATGGAAAGGAGACTTTTCAAAGCACTCTGCCTAAAAATAAATAGATTGCCCACTTTGCTGCTCATCTGAACGCGAGTCCTAGATAAGTGCTCTTTACGGGATGGGCTGGCTGGCTGCGGCGGGGCCGGCTGGCCGCAGTGTTGAAGGCAGGGGGGCTGTGCCGGGGGCAGCGTCCCTGCTGCCAGGCTGTGGCTGCAGTACATACGGGAGGAAGCTGCGCCTTTTGCTTTCGTTCCTGCGCAATCCCATCCGCACCTGCTCGTTGGAGAGTGGAAAGGGATGTCCATAGAGAGCAGCTCCGAGGAGAAG